GCTGAAAACAGTGAATAGTCCCTGTTTTCAGTGACAATCCACTGATTGACTTTTAGAGGGCAGAAAACATTTCCGGGTCCAACGCTATTACACTTGAATATATCATAAAATATGCAGTTACAAGTGTACCACCGAAAATCGCAGTGATAAGCTATTAACTGACAAATCAGTGGCCGTTCACCGATTGACTCTTAAAGAGCACTTCGCTGCCCCGCGCGACGCGGGAAATACAGAAATACGGAAACTGCCGCGCGCGAGCCATCGGCATTAGGGATTCTGACGTTAATTAATAAGATAAATACTCGCGCTGTATTACGCCGCGTACGATGATCGCGGGATATTATGTGTGTGTAGCGCGGGAATGACGATGACGGGCGACGATAATTCGAGGCCTCCAGAAGTTCCACTTCCACGGGTGGAGCGTGTTCCGGAGCGTGAAAAAGATCGCGCCGTGTCACGCGACGCGCCCGCCGCTCTCATTGGCTCGACTTTCCAACAAAGATCGCGAAACGCCCCCGCGCACGCACGCGGACCGGCGTGTTCTCGTGACCGGTGATAATATTCTCTCAGCTACCATTTTCATTCTATGCCCCCACCTCCCCTTCCCGTCCCGTTTCATATCGCCATTTTGCCGATCGGTATCCGAAGACGAGACAGCCAATAAATTACGTACAAATGTCGTTTACGTTAAGATCTCCACGAGCGTGAGCGGAGAGCGCGGGCTGCGTGAAAGCGCGTCGTTAAAAAGCTTATTTTACAAAATGCATCTAACGCAACCAAAAATGAGTCCAACGAGAAACTGGGGAAATAAAATGGCAGGCTGTTCGATGAGTAAAAAAAAGACATAATTGGATATCTCGTGCTAAATGTCGCGTATTCACTCCTGGTTTAACAATTAACCGGAAAATGAGAAAAACCGGGCCTTACAGCTGCAAGTCGGCGACTATTCGCTGCCTTCGGTAATAATTCGCCGATTGACTTCTAGAGAGCAAACGCCAAACGTAGGAATTATAATCTGTGTAGACGAAAGTCTGGATTCGCACGCTGAAATCGCTTTCTAATCCGGATTTAAAGTTCACAGACGATTTCGCGAGCGCGATTTTCTTGGCGCGGCGAGAAAATCCCCCATTCTTTTTTCTTGTTTCCCCGCGAATGTCTGCTTCGATCCGCAATTATATACGCCTCGGGGGGAGGGGCATTATAAATTTCGCTGGCAATCGCGTCGCGCGATCTTAGCGGGCTGCGCGTACACGTGCGCCTACGAGGGGAGTATGCAAAACGTGAGCAGCAGATATCGGCTTAAGCATAAATTCCTCAAGCGTTGTGACACACGTACGCCGCGGCATAATCTCACTAACGGCGTGCGCCGAGCGGGGGGCGGGGGTGGGATGGCGAGAGACGGGTCAAATCTGCGCAAACCGCGCAATATCGTCTCAGATTTATGGCCCGGTGAAGATAGGTCGACGCGATACTCGTCACACGATGAATCGGCAACGACGCTCATCGGCTACATGCGCGCGCTGCATCCGGCTGCATCTCGATCCCGATTCCTAATTGCCAAAATTGGCTCGCGCCCGTGCGCGCCGGCGTTTATCGATTGACCGTATCGGGCGACGTTGCGAGCCCGTATCGTTTAACGTTGCTGAAGCCTCGACGTTGATGCCTGCAACTCGGAGCACCGCTTGCTCCTTGCGGCTTTTGTTCCCGTGCCTCTTCAGCTCGAGCGAAAGTCCCAATGTTTCGGTAACGTTAGGTCTCCCCGTCCCTTCTCTCTCTTTCTTCAATCGTTTGGATATAATAGAATTAATTGTTGCACCGCTGCGCCATAATTCAGCACGTAAAACACCTTCGTTTGTCGAAGAAATGCCACGGAGAGAATTTTCTCTTAAAAGTTATCCTGAAAATCATGTAATTGTGGGACAACGTGGCGTTTCGAAGAATTGTGTGAGTTTTTTCGAAATTTTACCATACAGTTTAATTGTTTTTTTAGTTTTAGTTT